TCTTTACTGTTTAAATTTGCTATTTGAACATGCTCCCATACCCCCTTTCTATGGATTAATTGACTAAGTATGAGTATATAAGTATATAGCACAAGTCCGTTTCTGAATTTGCTGTGATGACATGCAGCCTGTTTTGATCCTCTTTTCACCATGTCTTGACTTCCCCAATAATTGTCCTTATCCTGTTAAGTTCTGATTGATATGATTTCGTCTTGTGATACTAGCATTCTACATTTAGCATATTTGTATCCCGCAATGTTATCCCCTAACCTCAGTCTATTCCTTTACTACTTGGTCTCTTTGAGTTCTTATTCTTAGTCGACTGAAAGCTAAGGCTACTTAGGTTCTGTCCTTTGACCTCCCTAGTATGAGCACTGTTCAGGATCCAATTGAGACCCTTGTGAACTCTGACACACTAGGATTTGGTCCCTAATCCCTCCTCTGAACTATTCTTGTTAACCACTCTAGTGTGAGCACTGCCCTGGGTTCTTGAAGCCCTTGGGAACTCTGACATACTAGGGCCTTGGTTCTATATGCTTAACTCTATCTTGTGCTCACTGGGTGAATTATTCAATTCCTGGCTGTTGTATGTCTATGAGTGAGTAACTTGGAGACTGTTGTAAAGGCCAGGCCTGTCCAGGTGTATTTTGGGCCTGCTGTAGGCTCCCTATAGTTATTCTCCTATGTAATTCATGCTATACATTCTGTGTTTGTAATAATTATTGTAATAACATTTTGGGGTATTAGTAAAATTGGGAAATGGAATTTATCTTACACTTGCATTGAGAGGGGTAGAAATCCTGCCTATAGGTTCATCACTTATCTCAAATGTGTTAGTGTGTTCAAACATGTTCCGCTGTCATGTGTTAGAGATCATGCCTATAGGTATTCTATTTTTGCTCAAAATGTGTTACTTTTCAGTTATTATAGAAATCCTACCTATAAGTATCCTATCTTGCTCAAATGCGTATTAAAAATCCTGCCTATAGGTTCTCTATTTGGTCCAAATATGTTCTACTTTTACCTGTTAGAAACCATGCCTATAGGGTATTGAATGATTAATATCTCAATGTGCGCATAGGATTCTGTTTACATACGAATTAATTTACAAATTAGATGCCATGCCTATAGGATCTAAAAAACAGTTTAAATTGTAGAAATCATACCTATAGGGTCTAAACCAGTCTTGATTATTGTCCTGCTCGTTTCTTTTAACCATTATTAGAAATCATACCTATAGGACTCGATTAAGCAATTCTAAACATATTCTTGTGATTACCATTGTTAGTTACTACGCGAATCACCTAGAAATCATGCCTATAGGTTTAATCTCTTACGCTTATAATCAGTAGGCAACTATATAGGCTTTAGAAATTATATTAAAAGAAAGGGTTTTATACATGAAGCTGCCCGCTTATAAAATCCAGAATCACATAGAGATCCTGCCTATAGGGTTCTACGACCTTAACTTATTAAAATCTGCAACTGTGAATGTTAGTTAGTTCGCGTGCATTTGTTGCCTAAGTGCGGAGGCCAACTTGAGCCCTTGTTTGCCTATACATGAAAGTCCTAAATATTTTACTTGTCGCCTAGTATTTTCTCTTTTGAGCAACCTAATTTAAAGTTTAGAACCACCCTGAAATAGAGGTCCAAATGCCTCCTGGACCATAGGCATGGGACGGGTAGTGCANATGAAATAGAGGTCCAAATGCCTCATAAACCATAGGCATGTGACGGGTAGTGCACGCATAGCGTACGACTAGAATTGACTAGTGCGCTTTAGGTAAACAACTTAAAGATAGTAATCGAGTAGCAGGAGATGATAATGTGTGCCCGCTGAATAATATGAGTAACACCCCATCTTGAGGAAGTTACAAAGTATTATTTATGTTGCACGTGGTGATCCTTTAGGCTAAAAAAAACTTAGGACCCCCACCTTTGTTTTAAAGTCAATCATTCTATTTTATTTGCCCGATTTTGTCTCTTCTCCTTGCTTAGACTAATTCATATAATTCGAGTTCGGCCGGGACCCACCGCTGTGGACCTCGAGGAGTGCCTAACACCTTTTTCTCAAGGTAATTTGAGCCCTTACCCGATCTTTGGTGACGCAACTGGTTAAACCAGAGTTTTTTGCAAACAGGTGCCCTAACGCACCTTAAATCCGTTAGGTGACGACTTTCTATTTTAAGACCCCTTCCTTTAAAAGAAGTTGTCACATATCGAAGCCCGATTTCACGAGAAAGAAAGGGGCGTGACACCTGCAAAGTCACAGATGTGGAGAAGGGGTCACAGAAGCGGTGTTGGGTGAGAGGCTGTGTTTGCGCAAGTGCGAGGGAATTTCCGCACCTGCGAGCTCGCATGTGCGGGTTGTTGGTCAAATAAGCGAGAAGGGCCTTGGGCTGAAGGAGCGCAGAAGCGCAATGGTGTCTCGCACCTGCGTTTGCGCAGAAGCGGACATTATGCCACATGTGCGATGGAACATCTGGGCCGTGCACTTCGCAGAAGCGAGATCGTAGGTGCGTCAAATCGTCCGCAGGTGCGAAAGTCGCTGGGCAGTATGGTATTTTTAATCCGAGACTTAGCCCATTTCTCTCACATTTTTATTTGGTTGGGCGATATTTTTAGCTATTAGAGGGGAGAACTTCATCATCTATTGCGAGGTGAGTTATTCCCACCTATTGTAAGTTAAATACATGGATTCTATAAGGATTTAAACATGGAAATTAGTAAAATTTTGGAATTTTGGTAGAAAACTTAGAAATTGATATTTTTGAATTTTGACAACGAAATTGGACATGAAATTTGAAATAAATCATATATTTGAGTCTGTGGCGTCATGGGTAAAGTTTATTTTTGAAAATATTCAGAATTCGGGCACGTGGGCTCGAGGGTCGACTTTATTAACTTTTCGAACAGAGTTAAGAATCATTATAAATTGTTAACTTATACGCATTGGAGTATATTTTGATTGAGTTGTACATTGTTTGACTAGTTTCAGGTCGTTTGGCTTTGAATTGAAGAGTTAGAGGGGCGTTGGAGCCGGTTATGGAACTTCAAGCGAGGTAAGTCTCCTGTCTAACCTTGTGAGGGAGAAACTACCCCCTTAGGTGATGAAATTATTATGTGATACTAGTTGTGGGTATTACATACACACGAGGTGACGAGAGTCCGTACGTAGCTAAAGCATATTTATATCCAGGTAGACTTAGGACCTTATCATGCAATATTTGAATTATTTGAACTCATTCTGCTGGCTTAATTAATTGAATTCATAATTGAAATTAATTTAGAAATAAATATATGTATACTAAACCGAGCCTTATCACCTTGAGTTGCTGGCAAGTTATTTGAGAAACAGTAAGAATTATATTCATTTTGTGCTAGTGTACTGTATTTGTAAGCATGTGTCTCGTAATTCGGTAACTTCCTTCCTTTCTTGTGGAGCAGGCCGAACGCCTTGGCAGTATAATAGATACATCTATGGTTCATGCCGCTCGACCCTCAGTAGTGTACATATTATTCTGGATCAGGCCGAACGACCTCGACATAATCGTGCGTTATATCGCTAGCAGTCCGAACATTCACAAGATTATGCCCGACGTTGTATATAATACTTCTTATCCGTTTGTTACTGGTACTTGATACATCTGAGCTGTTGAGGTAGAATACAAGCCTCATAAATTCATACTTTAAAAGAAATATTTGGAATATTAAGTAACTTACAAATTTACCCCATTATTATTGTGTTCTTCATATCTGCTTATGATTTATTATATTGCTTTGTTGGACCTCTAGTAAGTGTCGATATCGACCTCTCGTCACTACTTCCCCGGAGTTAGGCTAGATACTTATTGGGTACACGTTGATTTACGTACTCATGCTACATTTCTGCACTAAATGTGTAGGATTTGACAGGTTCAATTGGTGGTCATTTTAGCGCGTAGGTGCAGCTATTGAGGAGACTTTACGGTGAGCTGTATTCTAGGCTACGTATCGCAGCCCACAAAATCTTCATCGTACCATTTACTTTATCCTGTCTTATTTACATTCCGGAGATAGATTGTATTATTATTGTACTCCTTAGTAAATGCTCATGCACTTGTGACACCGAGGTTTGGGGGCGTTATAGAATTTGTTATGGATTGTTTTACACTGATTCACTTTCACTTATTATTTTAACGAAACTGTACGTAACTACAATTTATTTTAACGCACTAACCTCGTTATCCAAGAAAGATTTATGATTTAAAATTGATAAAATGAATAATTAAGTGTTGGCTTGCCTAACGACGATGTTGGGCGCCATCACGACCTATGTGTTATTTAGTTACCAAACGTGAATGAAGCTGGTTGAACAACACGTTCATGGGGCAATAATATATAAATAATTGTTGAACATTTACCGAGGTTGCTCAACGGAACTGGTGTCTTAAAACTAAAATATATTAAAAGACCCTGAAATTTCTTTCATAAAATCCATATAATATTGAGATAAAAAAGTCTACATGGCTTTGATCTAACGGTGGGAGAGCAACGTATAATGCGAGGGTTAGGCACACGTCATATGATATTGAACTCCTCCTATACAAAAAATATAGCATTAAGTGAAAATGGTCTAAGGGCTAGAGCCTAGTATCCATCATGTTTGAAACCTTACGACACTTGTCTCGTGAATTTTTTAGTTAAAAAAAAAAAAGAAACACAAAAGAACTTGCTTTCTGATGCACAGATCAATCACAAAAAGGAATAGCTAATTTAGGGAATTTGAGTTGAAATTAGAAAGTAATAATGAAAAATATTAAAAAAGAAAGAAAGAAAAATAGAATTTATGAGCAGGTAAATTTATTATTTAATTTAGTGAGAGAAAAGTTTTATCCTATTAACTCATTCAATTCTACCTCTACAAGACTTTTAAAAAATATTAAAATTTAAAATATTTTATTAATAATTATATAAATTACATATATTATACAATGATATAATAGTATTTGAGGGCCTTAAATATTTTGGGGGCCAAAGCAAGAGCTTCACTTGCCTTACCCTAGAGCGGCCTTGTCTTTTTTGCAATCTAGTCTCAGTCATGCTCGCCGCTAGACTTTTCGGGAGAACATTCTTGGCGGCGGCAAAATCAGAGAGTTCAGCCGCTGCAGCTGCTGCTTCTTCTGCTACTTCTAGAACCCTTAATCCACTCGAGCAGTTCTTTGAAGTTGATAGAACCCCAGAGGACGATAAGCCTGTTGTCTATGGTAAAATCCCTTACATTTTCTCCTCTGAAATTGCTTGATGGCATAATTGGTTATACCCCTTTAAAATGATTAGTATTACTTTCTGCTTCTGTTACACATGTAAAATCAAAGTACATTTATTGGTCTTTAAAAAGGGGTTATTTGTTCTGCTGGTATGCAAAAGTGAAATGAGTTAAGTATAGCATATCAAATGGATGGGCTACCCATAGGTCCAGCCTAGTTGATTCCTTTTTCGTTTTCTCTCCACTATCCCGTGACATATGTTTTGTTAGTTCTTTGGACGGGGGAAAGCAACTGCAAAAATAAATGTGTTAACTGAATGGATTAGTTGTTCTACAAGTGCTAAACACTAAATTGCTGCAATGTAGTGGAAGAGCGTCTGCAACTTTTGTTTTTTGTTGCTGATAGATGATCTCGAGATACTTACCTCTTGGCCAAAATTCACTGAGATGACATCTGCAAATGAACTATGTTTTGAGAATTGAAACCATGCATCACGAATACCACTTTCAGATGCTTTAAAGAAGCTACACAACCTGAAGTAAGCTAGTCCAGAAAGTGAAAGTCTGGTTGCGAAGATTTGAGATTATAGCATGCCAGCTCTTTAAAAAGAAAAAAGCAAATTCTGGTTTCAAATCAAAGTAAAAGGTACTCACTCGGTGACGTAAGTTGTGTACGAGCAATGTATTTTTGTGTTGTTGGGAAAATGAACACTATTTTGACTCAAGGGAAGCACAACAGCCCTAATAAGAATATTTGCTCCACTTCTAGGGTTAGAGGTGCCCAAAAGGTAAGTAGCTAATAAGTTAGTGCAAAAATTTTCAGGGCTTTGAACTTTCTCAAAAATTATCAGGGCGTTGAATATGTTTTTGTATTAAGAAGTGATGAATTGGCTTGTGATCTTAGATTGTACTTGTACATTACCACATTATGGCACACTCGTTTTGCCATCTCTGTTTTAGATACAAAAAAGTCCTCATCCTGAGCATCAATGTATAGTGTCTCAATAACAAAGTGGTGTTCTTTCTTTGAGTCTAATTTTATGTTCTTTCTGGAGTATCAAATGAATAATGTGTAAACATGCATAATTGTGAATCCTATAGCATTTTTCCAAATTGTATCCACTATTTTTTTAATCGTTTCTTTCATTCTACCTCCTCTTTTTTATTTGGTAATTTATGGAAAAGCTGTCCTTTTACATAAACCTTTATAGCTCAATTCTCGAGTTTTTAACTCAAAACATCCCCAATGTTTGCTCATAACTTTAAACACATCCTTAATGTGTCCTTGTTAACAGACGTCCAAAAACCAACAGTTTTTTACTGTCTTTGCAGCATTTACTGCATTTCTCTTCCTTCTCCATGATGGTGCTTTTAAATAGTCTTGCTTATTTTTTGCCTTTCTTCTGGAATATATTTAAAGTTTGGTCTTGTGTTGTTAATAAGATGATTGTTTACATAATTGTCAATGCACTCTAATGGTTCTCTGCTTCTATTGTTAAAGGTTTTCTATGAGTCCATGCTTGAGTTGCAGTTCAATTCTCTGCAACGTTAGAGCATTTTTTTCCTACTGGTACATTGATTGCTCACTCCTTCAAAAATGACATACCAACAAAGCATCTAATCCTAAAAACCCAGAGAAAGAAATCAAACAAGACATGCTCCTTTTTTGCCATTTTTTCTTCTTGCACAGTGTTTGCTCACTCGGTTATTTTAAAAAGGATGCTAATGTCAATTTCTTTTCAAAAAATATAATCTAATCACATCATGAGCATTTTCTCAGTTGCAACGCACCAACGGCTCTGTATTATTGATGCATCACAGAGTAACTTGATTAAATTCAATGATCCAAGTTGACTTATAGAAAGAAAAAGAAATAATTAGACCCACTTGAGAGCTTGAATGAGCGAGATATACTACAATTTGGGTTTGCGAGATTCAATATAATGTTAGAGGTTATTAATTTCCGTTATCATTCTTATGGTGCTTCTGCTAGCTCCTCCTTTGTGTATAAGCTAGCTAATGCCACACTTGAAGGTCGGTGGCCAGAACAAATGGTTTTAAGGTATATGGGTGATTCCAGAGGGTCTGGAGTTTGGAGGCCGCCATGGAAGAGAGCTTGGGTTTTTTCTTTTGTCTCAGTCTGCATCTCTAATTGCTCTATGGGATTGCTCCCCTATTAAAACCAGTTTGGGAAAGAAATTAGGATGCAATAGTTAAGAAAGCCTAAGAGCGGAGGCTGAGAGAAACAAGTACATGAGATTCGGAAATACTCACATGAAAGCAGATTATATTGTGGTGTAATTGAGGCTTGTTTTTACAAATTGAGGAAGAAATGGAACCATGCTTGTTACAAGGAAGAGGCTTCAGCATGTGACAAGTTGGTTTCCGTTAGTATTGGAACGGTTGTCAACACTTGGACAAAAATTGTTTATTTTTTAAACACATACTTAACATTATGAGCAAACATTAGGGATGTTTTGAGTTAAAAACTCCTCAATTCTCTGTCAAGATTAGGGATCTTTCATTGCGTTTAATCAGTAGTGGCTATTTTATCGTTGAAAATTTACCTATCAAAAAACAATTACTGATGAAGGTTGTTTCTCCATTGCAGTAGTTGGTTATTTACAAATTTGCATGCCTGCTTATCAGCTTATGATTTAGTTGCATTCCAAGTTAGGATAAAGTAGCCAAATAGTTCTGATAAAAAAATGATTATGTTACCCAAATAGTTATCCTCAATGTAGAGGAGAGGTTGAAGCTCACTCTCCTATGTGGTTTCAGTGGATTCGTGCCTCAAATGTTTAGGCATTCTAGTTAAACGCACACCAGAGATTGAGGTTCTGTATGCTGAGTGACATGCTGGTTAAATAAGGGATCGTTTGGTTGCAAAGCGGGATATCCAGGGATTAATCCTGGGATTGTTATCCCACATCCAATGTTGGATAGCTAATACCACCATTTTGGTATAAAATTTGTACTAGTATTAGCTAATACCAATAACCAAACATGAGATAAATACAATTCCAAATTTTATTCCAGTATTATAATCCCAGTAACCAAACAACCCCTAAGTTTATGCTTGTGCCATTGATCTATATCTATCTAGTGGGATAAACTCTGAAGTTCTAAAATTATAACCAGGTCGCGGTTGGAAGGCTTCTGAACTGCGTCTGAAGTCTTGGGATGATCTTCAGAAGCTATGGTATGTTCTTATGAAGGAGAAAAACATGTTGATGACTCAACGCCAGATGCTTAATGCTCAGAACCTGCGATTTCCTAATCCAGAGCGTATTTCCAAGGTAAGTCAGTTTCTTTAATAAGCTCCTTGCATAGTTTTGATTTAGTTCTCAACTGTCAAACATTTACTTACCGCTTACTTCTTCTAAAATAGGATGTATCAACTAGACTCTTCTCCTATCTGAAGTAAATCTCGGAACTTTTCATATAAATAAAAGTGATCCCTTAATTGGATTTGCTTGTTAAGACAATACTCTAATGGCCAGGTAGAAGTAGAAGTTATATGCAATATAGGTAGAATTGTTTCTAGATTTCCAGAACATAACATGTGCTCGAGATTGTCTGTGTTCTACAATGTGGGGCAAATTTCTAGGTGGCACATTTCTTTGATCCGCGGTCCTCAGTAAACATATAGTCCTCTAGATACGGAAAATATCCAGCGTAAGCATATGATAGAATTGCTTTTTTGGGAATGCCAAAGCTTTTTGTGACTGTTTGTTCTCTCAAATTAATTAATTATCCACATATTCTCTGCTGTACTCTATTGTTTTTTTTCTGAGAACGCAAGCTTTCCTCTGTAATCTTGTAAATTTATTGGTGGTTTGAATTTCGAGAATCAAGAATCAACAAACCTATATATCCGCAGAGGAAGTCTGGAACATATAGTTCAAGAAAAGTTGAAGATTACATCTCAGTGAAGTACTGAAGCGTAGAGCAGATCTTTTTAACAGTTCAAAATTTCTGTAATATTAGATATGGTAAAGGGTCGGATATACCCCTCTACTATTGCATATTGTTCAATCCTATACCTCGTTATATAAATAGCCATAACGGAAATGACACGTGGCACACTCTGGATGAAAGACCCAACCCACCACTTAAAAAAGCCTCATACCCGCCCCACCCGTTTCCCTTTCTTTAATTTTTACCCAAACCCCTCTTAGCCATTCCCAGTTTCTCCTCCTTCCTCATCTCGTCTATGCACTTCTATCTTCCTGGTGGTACAAAATCATATATTAGTTTTCATATTTTCTGATAACCCCCACGCCTGCAGCCTTGTATTTCAACAACTTGTATTTTTCTTGGTAATTGGAATGTCGATTCAGTTATTTTCCATGAATGGATATAAAAACCTCTTGTTTCTTTCCCTCTATAGAGTCCAAACACCTTGTAAAACCCCTTGTTTCTTTCCCACTTTTGTATACAGTTGGATTGATTGTTTAGAAGCTCAATGTGGAACACTTGTAAACTTTCATGTCGTGCACATTATGAGATGATTCTTTTGAAATAATGTTAGAAAAATACCCAGATATCTTTAAACAGTAGTTATTCACTTTGCTAAATCTTATTGTCACAAAATCCAAGTAGAAATAAACAAGTGTAAAAGAATATTTGCTCCAGACATATATATGGCAGAATGCGAAGTCAGACACCTATTTCTACTTTGCAATGTCGCTAAGGAACTTCGGAACTTGTTCTTAAATCTATTTGGGTCACCTCCTAGTGGTTTAAGCCTTCAACTGCTGGTACATGTGGAAGGTGCAGGCAGACAAAAGAAAGTTGTGGCAGTCCATTCCTGGCTGCACCTTTTGGACTCTATTGAGGGAAGAAACAAGAGTAAAAATTAAAGAAAGGGAAACGGGTTGGGCGGGTATGGGGTTTTTTAAGTGGTTTGTTGGGTCTTTCATTCAGAGTGTGCCACGTGTCATTTCCGGTCTTCTTTTATGGTGTAAGGGTCGGCAACAGCTAAGAACTTTGATGGACAGCAGGGACAAATAGCCAATAAGTATAACGGGAGATGGGATTGAACAATATTCGATAGTAAAGGGGTATATCCAACCCTTTTCCGTATTAGATAATCAACATTCAGAATTGTGTTGTAATAACTATTAAAAATCCAACCAAACCATGCATCAAAATTTAGGCAAGGCTTGCGTTAGAATATAAAAATTAGGCAACTTGATGCCTTAGGGGCCTATTAACATGTTATTAGGAAAAGACAGACGTAGTAGTAGAAGAAGCATATTGATCGGCATGAAGCTAAGATCGTGTTCACAATACTTGACCCTCGTACCCTGGCATTGTGGATGACCCGGTTCATCCATATTGCATCCTGCAGTCTTATATAGCAACAACTATTACCATATCCAAAAAACAATAATTAGCATGAAGCAACAACTGAATTGCATGTATATCACCTTTTAGATTTACTCAAAGTAGTAAAAGCAAACTCTAATAGTCAAAGCAGTATATTTTTTTTACTATTTTTTGGTAAGCAATCAAACTCATTTGAGTTTAACTTTTTTATTCTTTTAAGACTAGTAAACAAATTGGATTTTGATTTTTTTTCTTGGTTTACTGTATATTTCATCAATAGACAATTGAAAATTCTACACGTGAACCCTTGAGACACTGAGCTATTAGAATATTGCTGATGCATGGAGTTCTCTTTAACATATTTGTGACAAATGATTGATATTCAGGTAAGGAAGTCGATGTGCCGAATCAAGCATGTGCTTACTGAGAGAGCAATTGATGAAGCAGATCCAAGGAGGTCCACTGAGATGAAGAGGATGATAAATGCTCTATAAGTTCCATACACTCATTGGTAGTAGTGTTGATATGCCTTCATAACGGGTATTTGGATCTCTTCTCTTCAATTAGCGCCACATGTAGGAAAGTCATTAGTTTGTGTTTAGTTCATAAACAGACATATTTCAGTCGGTCTACACAATTGTCTGGACATCCATGATGCCAAACTCTGTGAACTAGTTCACTAGGATGTGATGGAGATGGCAATTTTGTTTAAAAGATTTGAAGTGCCGAAAATAGAGAAAGGCCAAAATCTCTGTATGTGCGCGCGCATGTGTGTGTTGGTCAGTTGATACATGCTTGTGAGTTTTACTGCGACTCTAGTTAACAGAGGTACCTTATTTAGTTTGGTAAGGTACAAGTGAAAAAGTTATTGCTGTAATAAAAGGGTGGGGAAGACACGCTTCGGGAGCCGCTCTGACTGATATTTACTTCATCCATTGCACATCCCACGTTGCTGCGATTTTTTTGCATTTACTACACCTTCAGCAGCTCCACAGATCGCTCTGGTGCCTTCATTTATTGCCAATAATCAGTCTTGACACACACACACACACACACACACACACACACACACACACACACACACACACACACACACA